GGAATTATATATATTGTATTGCATACACCCTTATCTATACTTTGTATACGTAAAAATTTAAAGCTAGGGATTTCTATACGATTTCTGTCATTGTTAAATTGAAATTTCAGCAATTCCTTTCTTGTTCCCTTCCTTCATGGTTCCCTATTGTCTCATCCTTTATCCCACATCAGATTTCTATATTAGGACTGTAGAGGGAGAGAGGGGAGGAAAAGGAAAAAGTCTTTGAAAAAATTGTCTCTGTTAGATTTCTGTAAAGAGATTACATTTGAGCCGCTGTTCTTTTGCGTGTGCAGGATCCAAAAAATTATGCAGTCTTTCTTCATGTTTGATTATTAATAAAAGCAAATAGTGTGTAGGCGCTTCACAATATTAGTCAAAAACCTTATTCGTAGCTTAAATATTTTGCAAGTATAACAATATCACTTATAAAACAATAAGATGATAAATTCCAGGAGCTACTAATTTACAATAAAATAAAATAATAATATATATAGACACAAGAGTGGATTAGTGCATATACATTCAAAAAAGAATCAAATAGTAAATGCGTCCATATGCTTGAAATCCTATTGGTGTAAAAATTGTGATTGAGCTTCCAAAATAGTCCACAGGATATTATCCTATAACTTAAGTTATGATAATATGCAATATAATCAATAAATGAATAATAATGTCCAATAGTCCTTAGAATATAACAAAAAGGGGGGGCGGAGCTAGCAGAGGAGCAGAGCGGTTGCACTCACCAAGAGCTCCCCGCCAGTAACCGCAAAAAACACGATTCACAAGGCAAAATTTGAAAGCCACCCAGGCTCAACCACCCACACCCGATACGAGGAAAAGCCATGGGTCGGAAACACAAAAAAACCAGAGCCAATAAAGACCCTACTACCTACGACATCGGGGAACTTCTCCAACGCTCACAAAAGTCAGCATGGGACAAGATGGCGGCAGGAGACGACAGCTACTCATTCTCATCGGATGATTTCTTCACAGACCCCGGAGAAGGTACGGCACAAGCGCCACCACCCAATACAAAGCCCTCACATACCCCTGCAGAGGAACCAGTCACAGCCTCTATACTTAAAAGCATGCTGGCGGAGCTCAAAACCAACATATCGGCAGACATGGCCTTTATAAAAGAGGCAGTAGAGGGGGTCACCACCAGGGTCGCGCTGCTAGAGGCCTCATCTAGTACCCACGATGCAAGGATAGCATCCCTAGAACAAGTGCTGACAGAAGTGCAAAAACAGCAACGAGTATCCAACGACCGGATAAACACACTAGAAGATCAACGAAGGTGCTATAACAAAGATATACCTACTGCACTTCATCAGACGCCTGCTGGCCAATCTCTTACCAACCAAACAGGCAAAAGCAGTGCGGCTAGACGGCATGTTCCGACTGCCAAAGCCCGCGACGGCGATGGCCACAGCACACACAGACCTGATACTCCACTTTCAGACCCTGCAAGACAGAGCCCAACTGCTGGCGGCTGCACGAGGGAAAACCCCTCTGACTTTCGAGGGAGTCACACTATCCCTTTTCCAGGACCTGACTAAAAGCACCATGGGATGGTGCAAGGCCCTGCAACCGCTTTTACAACACCTCCGGAACAAGAGCATCCAGTATAAATGGGGGACACCAAACATGATCACCTTCACGCATCAGGATACAACTTACCGAGCTCGGAGCTACCCTAAACTGGACTCACAACTACGCACAGCAGGTCTGCTGTAACCCCCTTGCAGAGAAGGCTCAGGCCTTAACCGACTGGATCCAGCCGCTGTGACTGACTTCATCCCGGGGGCACCTACCCGACCACCGCACCAACGAAAGATTCCCTGAGTGACAATAAAGCAGAGAGATTTCTCTACACCACCCAGAGACTGCCGACACCGCACTATCCGGGAATTAGCCTCCTGCCCATGAGGATCCCGCTCTGTTCCCTCACGAATTTTTACATTGTTAACCTCCGAGTTCCCTCCACTTATTTTTTGGGTTACCCTAAATTGAATTCGTTACTAGTTATAAGTAGTCCGTATAGGTCTCTCTGACTTAGCCTCCACACACCCGAGACACCCCCGCAGCGGTAATCACTACACCCCGTACCGGGGGACGCAAACACCCACAACCAGATGCACTATTGACCGTACCTACACCTGACTTTCACCCTCGCCCGAACTCAATAGACACTGTTAAAAGCATACACATCGTGACAGGGTGAGCACCCCGGTGAGGGACACATACCAGTCTAAGGTGCATTCTGCCCGCGACAGCGTTCACCCTCTCACACAGACGGGCATACCAGGGAGACCTGACGGACCCCTTACCACACACCCAAAAGTACGCCTCCCTAGCTCGCTTACATACGGACACATAAAGCACTACACATGTCCAAATTCAATCCCGAAGACGGCACGCTCACAGACCCCTCCAGGATTAGGACATGCCAGGAGAACTAGCTGACACCATGACTATACAATTACTATATAAAACTGTGCTATGCGTATATATGCCAATTCTGTGTTGATACATGTTGCTAAATATGCCTACATATGCTGTTGTGGCAATGTGGTCACTTGTGTTGATTTTGCACAATAAAATAAGGAATTAAAAAAAAAAATATATAGCGAAAAGGGAAACACACTTAACTGTGCATATAAGTAATGCACAGACGTGCAGCCCTATTGCAAATATTATATAATTCGCTGATATACAGTGAATATCAAAAAATAAATAAAAAAACAACAGAAAATGAAAATTAAAGAAAAAGAGAAGCAACACAGTACCTAAAATAACCTCTTGCTATAGAAAGAAAAAACAAAACATAAATTAAAAATAAAGGAGGGAAAATGCTTCTTAAAAATCAATTTCTTTAATTGAAATTAAATTACTTAAAATTAGTTCATACACACAAAGTAAAAATTAATTAAAAGTACCAACTAAAACTCAGGATTAGAGTTGAGTGAACCGAACATTACAGTTTTTGGACCTCGGACCCGAAAACGGACATAGTTGGAGTTCGGTGTTCGGCGATTTAATGGCGCGTTTTGAAAGGCTGCAGGGCAGCCAATCAACAAGCGTTTGACTCGTGTGCCCTTAGAAACCATCACGGCCCTGCCTACAAATGGCATGACTGTGATTGGCCAGTGCAGCATGTGACCCAGCCTCTATATATAAGCTGGAGTCACGTAGCGCCGCACGTCACATGAGCTCTTATTAGTGTAGGGAGATGATGCTGCAGCTGTGAGGGACAGATTAGGAAAGAATTCTGGTGTTGAATCTGCAAACTACAGTGATTATTTTTGTGGGTGCTATACTACATTTTTGTACCCTGCCCTGAGCCCAGTGCCACAGAGAGTGCAGTGCACTTGCAACTGCATGTGTGCCAGGCACATTTCTTTAATCCTGTTCTGGTAGCTCAGTGGGCAACATTTAGGCATTTTTTAAAAATGCTATTTTTTTTGTGCTAAATAGTACATTTGCGTACTGCATTTATTGCAGCTTAATAAAACCCTTAAATACTACTGTTACATTGTTGGTTAAAAAAATCTAAAATTTTGGTGCTAAATAGTACATTTGGGACCTGCACTTCATATCTGAGAGTCAAATAGAACCGTCAAATACTGTGCTTACATTGCAGTTTTAAACATTCAATTTTTTTAGGTGCTAAATAGTACATTTGGGGCCTGCACTTCATATCTGAGAGTCAAATAAAACCGTCAAATATTGCTGTGACATAGCAGTTTTAAAATTTCAAATTCTTTAGGTGCTAAATAGTACATTTGGGGTGTGCACTTCATATCTGGTGTATGTGTGCAACACTGGCTAGTTACCGCTTCTCAAGAAAGTCCAAAGACTTTTAAAAAAAGTGAAAAATAAGTGTTATTGTGATCGCTTCATATACAGAAGTATTAATATACATTTCTATATTGTGCAAAGACACAACTAAAAAGTTAAAAACCAAACACCAAAACAGCGTGCCATACAATCTACCTGTGCATGGCTAGTGTGATACAATAAGTCTACATCTTAAAAATGCAATAACCCACAGAAGATAGGCGAGAATTTTTTTTTGCAAATGGAATTTTGATTCGAATTTACTACATCGGTCACTTGTAATATTGTTTCACACCTACAACACTTAAACAGATCTAAGTGATAGAAAACAGATTGATATTTTCTACACTAGAAACTACCAGATAAGCTGCTATATTTAAACCAGTTATCAATAGCTAAGAGGTACTTAAACAATATTGTAATTCTGGGGCAATACCCTCACAAGTCAAACTGAGAGGTCAGTTTATAGGGAAAAGTGTTGCCTGGATACAATTCTAAAACAATTTCCATATGTCCTTTGCAGACTTTACATGCTGGGAAAACACAGATGCCAACTGCTGTGGCTTTCTGCAGTGTGCAGACCGGCAAGGAGGGCAGGGTTGTGGCGTGGGTGGAAGATGATGTGGAGGATGATGAGGTCCTAGACTCCACATGGAATGAAGGTCATGTGAGTGACGTGTGCAGTTTGGAGGAAGAGGCGGTGGTCGCACAGAGGCACCAGCACAGCATAAGAGAGCAGGGTTCAAAAACGGAGCGTCCGTCCCCTAGCGCTTGTCGACATGTATTAGCTCTAGAATTACAGTAACAGATGGAGCGATCAAAGGAACCATAACTGATTTAATGAGCCATTCGCAGTTTCACTGTAGCGGCTGTGCGCGCTTTCTCACCCTGTTGCTGCTCGCCTGTCTGTGCTGCAGCGTAACTTTGCCTTCCCGCTCACCGCTTCATATGCGACGTGCCCACAAGGTGGAACTCCACCTTGCACATGCTGGAGAGACTGTGCGAGCTGCAGCAGGCGATAGTGGAGTTTCAGCTGCAGCACGCAAGGGTCAGTCACTCTGCACCAGACTTGCCCTCCAATAGATCCTCATTAAAGGATTTAAAAGGTACTCATTCCAATTACAGGGCTTGGAAAGAGTCCTGTATTGTTATTTATCGTCACTACCTCCCCGCGTCGGGAGTGGGTAATTTGCGCGTCTGCTGCCTTTCTTGGATGTGGTAGCTGTTTCTCAGACTCCCTCTCTGGAATCGAACCCTGATTCCCCATTACCCATGATCATCATGGTAGGCGCAGAAAGTAACATCGAAAGTTTACAGGGCAGACATCCGAATGCATCGTCTTCGCCATGGTCACCGCCTCCTCAACCTCCTACTCCACATCCATCTCCTCCTCCTAGAGCAGGGTGCAAAAGTGGAGCAGTCGTCCCCTAGACAGTATGCCTGCTACTTCCCACCACACCCAGGGACCGAGCACATCACAGCCAGCTCCAAGGGGTTCCCTGGTGTGGCAGTTCAAACGAGAAGAACCCAGTCGATTCCTGTGTCACCTCCCGATAGGCAAACAGGAGATGGGGCAGGAATCTCTCTCAATCCTTGTGAGTCGCTGCAAAGGTACGGAGCATTTGCTTCAATGTACCGTTGAAGCGCTCACACAGGCCATTGGTCTGGGGGGTGATAAGGGGAGCTCAGGATTTGTTTAATGTGCACAATCTCAGTTGGTGGGTCATTTCGGCAGTAAACTGGGTGCCCTGGTCTGAGAGAATCTCCCGGGGAAAACCCATCCAGGAGAACACTCGCATCAAGGCTTCAGCCGCAGTCTCTGCCCGAATACTGCTCAGGGTACTGAGTCGCGTAGTCCACGATGGTCAGAATGTACCCCGGAGGGACTAGGCTTGGCTAGGGGACCTATAATGTCGACAGCTACTCTGCCGAACGGATCTTCTCTAATAGATGGAGGGTGGCCCTGTGCCGGTCCCTTCTCTTCCCCACTCTCTGGCAGATATCTGGCAGTACTGCCTCAGATCCTGAGAGATGCCTGGCCAGAAGAAGCTTTGGGTGAGCCGAGACGCTGTCCGGTGTTTCAAAACCAACCTCGCCACTGGGCATTGGAGAAGCCTGTTTGCCCACCTCCTGCCTGCTGACTATGGCCCCTGGGAGATTTGGCCCTGTAAATACAGTATTTGTGCATATTGTATTTTATTATGCTGCTGCTGGCCCTTTAAGAACCATCTGGGGACATACTGTGGAGGTACAGGGTGGCCAGCATTTCTGGCAATCTTTATTTTATTTTATTGAGGCTTTGAGCACATATGCACAACATGAGGGCGGTATAGACGCGTACATAATCCAGCACAGTTCAATACAGCCTAGTACCCCAGTACAAAATTTTTGCCGGTTAAGATTTCCTCCCTTCGCCTCGGTCTTAAACAGAACAACCAATGGTAACTGTAGGATCCAAACAAAGTAACATCTGCATAGTAACATTAATATAAGAGTCAGGCCCTTAATGGTCTGTCAAACCCGCTGGTTACTCTCTACCGAACCCATTACTGCCATACTTATGGCCTGTTCCAGAACTAACCCCGTTATAGAGCTCGGGATATATGTCAGGGCTTCGGTCACTTATTCTACTCAACTATTGTCACAACCAAGAGCAATCTGTGTAGAGTCAAATGAAAGTCTGTGTATTGTCCGGGGACAGTCCGTAGTGAGAAAGAGTCAGTAAAGCTTGAATGTTCCGTGCAGGGCGTCTCTTTCGAAGGAAAGGGTCGAGAATGAAAGGGGGGAGGAAAATGGGGAATCGGCCATGACTGGGCAGAGAAGAGGGGGGGAAGAGGTCCGCCGGCACCCCCCCAGCCCCCTTCCCAACCCCGGGTTTCCAGGAGGCCACTCACCTACTCGGCCCCTCGCACTCAGTGTCTTGTCGCTCTACGGGCCATGTATTCAATCCAGGGCACCCACTCCCCTGTCCCCCGCAGGTTCGCCGTGAGGCTCTCCATGGTGTAGATTTCTTCTACCGCTTCCATCCAGTCCGATCGCGTTGGTATCACCTGCGTCTTCCAGTGGGCCGGAATCAAGCTCTTGGCAGCATTCAGGAGATGCCTCGTGAGAGACCTCTTGTACGCACCTATGGGCCTTGTGGTGTGGTGGAGGAGCATCTGCAGGGGCTGCATTGGCACGTCCGAGTCCAGTATTTCCCTGAGTTTGTCGTGTATTAGCTGCCAGAAGACCGCTATGTGCGGACATGACCACCAGATATGGAGGTCCGTGGCTTCCGATGTTTCGCATCTCCAGCAGCTGGGCGTGGGTCTCAGGCCCATACGGAACAGCCGATAGGGTGTCCTGTACCATCCTGTCATAAGTTTGTAATTAAGCTCTTGCAGTTTTGCGCTGGTAGCACTTTGATGAGCGAGGATGTGAATCTTCTCCCACGCGTAGTCTGACAGAGTGTCCCCTGTAGCAAGTTCCCACGTAGCCTGGTATGGTGCCGGAGGATACCGGGTTGCGTCAAGTAACAAGGAGTACTTCCTTCTCGGCAAGTGTGTCCCCGCATCGCAAAGGGCCTCAAAGCGGGTTAGGTCCCTGTGTATTAGCTGCTTGCCCGGTAGGGAATGATAGCCTTATTTGCTGATATCAGAAGCTGGTTGTAACGGACCGTTTTGCACACAAGGGGTAAAAACCGTTTAGGCGATCGTCCCCTTTTCCAGTGATGCAGGCACAGCTACTGCAGAACACTGAACTGGATACAAAATAGCACTCCAACTCCCGAACTGGAACCTCCCAAATAGCTGCTAGCAGATGAACAGGAAAAGCAGACAATCAGCTTACACTCCTGGCAATCAGTCTCTAACAGCATACAGTGAATCCCCCCAAGAACGAGACAAGGCTCCGTGTTGAGGGTCAAGCAGTGGTCAGACAGAGCTGTGGGTTTATTGTGCTTATGTACACATTCTTCCACATTAGTACCACCCACAGGGTTTTGGAACACAACCAATAAACACATACAATACACTCAGACACTCCCACACAAATTCCTCCCCTCTGCATGTGATTCAATTACCTTACACAATGGGTAATGTAATTTAGCATAAGCAGAGAAATAAAATTTTTCCACATTATTCATAACTTGAAAAGTATGCATCACATTCACTTACATTTTCAGAATCAGCATACTCCAAATACAAACATACGTCAAAATCATACAAATTGGTCCAGTGGCTCAAAAGATAGATCGTAGTCCTTTGTGACCACAGGAAGCATGGCTTTTCTGCCCAAAACCAGTTCCACAGAGTCTTCTATCCTGGAGATAATTAGAAGTAATCCAATTATCTCCAAAGACAGAGGCAAAACTCCATTGAACACATGGCAGCAAAAAGACAGTAAAATACAATAAAATACACAAGGTTACATTTATGACATAAAATACAGACATGCAACATATGCCCAGATAGCTTAGGTCTGAGAGCACATTATTACTGAATGGCGCTCAGAGCACACACATACAGTTCAATTGCCATGGAGCCAAAGTCTTTCCCATAGTCTTTCATTATACGAATGGGCTCCATGGCATAGCTATCTGGGGTATCACTGCTCAAACAGGGCAAGCACCAAATGACCCGGCTTTCTTGTCTTTGCAGGGGAAAATCAAGCCTTTTAACATGGGGCCATAATCCAAAGGCAACAGGCGAGCAACCAGGCTTCTCCAATGCAATGTGGCGAGATTGGTCTCGTCACATCTCTCCCCTTTTCCAAACAGACTAACAGGGTATCTGACCTCCTGCCGGTCAGTGCCCTTGTTAGTCCAGCAGCCCACCCACAAAACACAATCAACAGCACAGCCCACCCACAATAAATGGTTACTGCACCTGGGTAGAGGAGAAGCTTGTCCATGTCCAGGTGCCTCACCACGGCTGTGCTGGGTACGGGTATGCTGACTTGGTGTGTTGCTGCGTGGGCAGAGACCAGCGGTACTCTGCCCTGTTGCCAGCACTACTGGGAGGGTAGCCTGGTTGGAGCCTGGTTGTTGGAGGGGGAGTCCGACTGTCTCCCCTTTAGATATACAGCCCTGCTGCTGGAGACCGACTGTCTCCCCTTTGGACACACAGCTCTGCTGCTGGAGACCGACTGTCTCCCCTTTGGCTAAACAGCCCTGTTGCTGGGGGGCAGAACCGACCGTCCCTACCCCCTGTGCTGGACGTGCAGAGACCACGGTCCCATCTGCACAGTTGTGGGGCTTACTGTCTCCCCCTGGTACATTAAGCTGCTGCTGGGAAGAGGGGGTAACAAGCTCCTCTCCCATATATACTTCCAGCCGCGGGGGAGGGAGACCGACTGTCTCTGCTCCCAATACAGAGTCCTGCTGCTGGGGAAAGGAGACTGGGCTCTCTATTCCCGGTGGGACACTCTGCCGCTGGGGAATGGAGACTGGGCTCCCAATTCCCTGCTGTATCTCCCGCTGGGGAATGGAGACTGGGCTCCCAATTCCCAATGACTCTTACTGCCGCTGGGGAAGGGAGACTGGGCTCCCAATTCCCAATAATCATTCTGCCGCTGGGGAATGGAGACTGGGCTCCCAATTCCCTGCAATTAATTCTGCTGCTGGGGGACAGGAGCAACTATCTCTGTCCCCTGTAACTCAGCCTGCCGCTGGGGAATGGAGACTGGGCTCCCAATTCCCTGCTGTATCACCCGCTGGGGAATGGAGCTCAGGCTCCCAATTCCCTGCAATTCACACTGCCGCTGGGGATCTGAGCCGACTGCCCAGCATCCCTGTAGCTCACCCTGCCACTGGGGAGGGAGGACGCTGCTCTCGTCTCCCTGCAAGGAACACTGCCGCTGGGTTCAGGACCACCTGTCTCTGCCCCCTGTAACTCAGCCTGCCGCTGGGGAATGGAGCTTGGGCTCCCAATTCCCTGCAATATCTCCCGCTGGGGAATGGAGCTTGGGCTCCCAATTCCCTGCAATATCTCCCGCTGGGGAATGGAGCTCGGGCTCCCAATTCCCTGCAATATCTCCCGCTGGGGAATGGAGCTCGGGCTCCCAATTCCCTGCAATACCGGTGGAGAGACCTCGGTCCCCTCTCCACCTGCCGCCTGGGGTTCCTCCCAGTAAATTTCAACAATATCTTCCCAGCTGAATGGGTCTGGAACTGGATCTGTCACCTTGCTGTCCTGCTGAGCCTTCTCAATGGAGTGGAAGAGATCTCGGTAGTCCTGCTCCAGTTCCCACTCCAGGGTTGCTAGGTGAGCCAGGTCTTGCTTAATTTCGTGAGTGTCATCCCAGTCATACCTGCTCTCCCTCCACTCCAAGAGATCACTGAACCGGGCTTGTGTAGGGCTCCCAAATTCAGGCTCTGAAAAAGCCTCCCATAACAAGCCAGGACCATCAAACTCCTCTCCCTCTGGCTTGTCATGCTCGGCTGTCCAGGGCAGGTACTGTGCCCCATACCAC